ATAGCCCTGTACAATGTCATATTTTCAATTTATAATGGGTACCATGATGTTCCACCCTGCTACCTACTCTCAACAGTCTTTTATCTGAGGGAACATCATTTTCACTGTTGTGGATTGTTGGGTTTTTTTGAATACACCTGTTTTACAAAGCAAGCACAGGACAAGGCCTGCTCTCCCTGAAGTAACAGCATCTAGCCTACTTTTACAAATGCAAATCGCATGGATAACACAGAGCAAATAAAGGAGAACCTGCCTTCGACATGCGAAGGATGTGTCCAGCTAACAGAAAGCAGGCCACAGAATCTCCCACAAATGTCACTATTACGGGGCCTACAGATGACGCCTTTTAAAAACAGTATCACTCATTTCTTATGGGGGCGGAGGGGAAAAAGGCACGAGTTTTGGCATGCAAGAAAAACTACACATTTCAGATATATGATTTACGTTGTTGTCGATAAAACAGCTTTCCAATTATCAAGGCCCTGGTAGGAGAAGCTGGAACGCATTATGTGTTAATGATCACAACCAGGGGTCCAAGCTTTACTCTTTTGTCAGAGCTGTAGCAGATCCTCCCCGCAGCTTCACCATTAACATGTCTGTTTCCTGTCAGACCACTCAGAGATAATGTCATTTATCTCAGGGCGGCACAAGACCAGTCATTAGCTTCAGTAAAAGACCTCAAACAAAGGCCGGATGGCGTTTTATCCAGGGCTGGTAGGCTGCAGCCAAGAATCTCATTGCCTAACAGTTCAGAACTTAAGTTATCTTTAAAAGAGTAATTTTCCCCCTATCAACAATTCTAGAACACTTATCTGAAGAGCAGAAAAGTCTCTGCATGGAAAATTTTAGTCAATGGTTTTATCATATGCAATTAGGTGACTGATAAGAGCTTGCTAAAGTTATCCTTTGAGAGGCTTTTTTTTTTTTTCCTTTTACCTCTTAGGGAAAAATTGTCAGAATAATTCAGGTTCTAGCTAAATAGTAAGACCTTTAAAGAACTGACCCTTATTGTGCTTGCCTGCAGGAGGTGATTCACTATTATAAATTCTTCAATGACTAAGCTTCTGGAAATCTCTTTAAATGAAAGTGGAACTGGTTAACTGTATGTACGAACATGTGTTTTCACAGTCTCTCCTGTATTATTGCATTTCAGAAAGCTTCTATAAAGTGCCAGGTGAACTTATTTTAAATAATGATAATAATAATAAAGAAAGAAAGAGAGTCGAAAAAATATGAGCAAATCTCAGCTATTCAATTCCTGTTTTTATGTTGAAAACTAGGAACAGATGGTAGTTTCCATGTTACTTGAATCTGGTTATTGAACACCTCTATGGTTACGGGAGATTTTGCTTAGCACTTTTAACATACATTTCATTTATTGGACTATAAAATGCTACTTTGGAAAAACAAGTCTTTATATAGCTATAATTAAAACAGTCTTGCAGCAAAGCCCTTTAACATGGAGAACATGGTTAACCTCATGACATCTGGACAATCAATCCTTTCCTTTTTACTGGGTATTTATGAAGTTATTAAAATTGTAAAATTACCGGTGCCCAAAGTGAAACACTTTTCCAGTAGTTCCGAATAAGGTTATCAGCTTCCCTACTTTATGTTATAAATGTTCTAGACCAGCCTCCATTGTGCTACGCTAACTCTTGCTTTGCACAGGAATTCAATAGCAGATCTGGTCATACATATTGGCAGAGGTCAGCAGGTTCACACGGAAAGCTTTCCTCGGCCAAAGGGCAACACCTCTTCACCCAGCTCAAAAAGCACCGTCACACTACTAGACAGCACTACAGAACTTTAAGAACCTTGAGCTGTGCTTATTGTTAGACACCCATAGTTATCAATGTTTTTAACAGCTAAATCCCTTATGTAGCTTTCAAAACAGTTTGCTGTCAAACAACAATAGACTTTGTTCTTTAATTACAGCAAGTGACCTCCCTGCCCTTTTATTTCACAGTGAATAAACTACACCCAAGGCCAGCGAGAAAAGTACATGAAAAGCATATCTCCATAACATCATTAATCAAAGCATGTACTTAAATAATTTACATCAATAGGTAAAATGCACACAGTTTCCTGATGAAGTGTTAAACACCCTCAATCCCGCTATTAAAAAAAAAAAAGTTAAGATAAAATAAACAATACCAGCCAACATGTTAATTTGCTGAAGACAACTTTCAGATGTGAAATGCAGTCTTAATGAGAAGCAATAAGCTAATAAAAGAGAAAAACTCAATCCTGGAATATCACTAGACTAATTCATTTAAAAACTGCAACTAGACACCTCTGATTATAGCTTTGTATCTTCCGTATTATTTTCACGTAAACGTACTGATTTTCACATGCCAAATGCGGTTTTCCCGTATCCCAGAGTAAATTGTGACTGTTTGAATCCCAGAATCTCCCTGCAACACACACAAAGTAAGTTCTTCTAGATACCCTGAACGCTTTTCAATGTAACAGCTGTTAAAAACAGAAAAAACTTAGCTAAAACAGATGAAAAGTTGATGCTGACAAACAGTCAGTAACTGTGCTAAAAATGGTATGGATGAGAAATGGAAAATGGAGACAGGTTTTAACACCAGAAATCTTAGGAGTGGTTAGCCTACCTGTCAAAGCTACTTATTCAGACATGTCACTGGTGGCTTAACCACAAAACGGGCTGCATGAATATAGCTCAAACATCTTAGAATTACAGCATACTTTGACTTTATCCACATATTAGGGGAGTGGCGACTTTTACAACATACTTGTGGTTTCTGCATAAAAGAACCAGCAGAACACAGTCATTGATTTAATTAGGCTTCATAAGATCCAATTTATCATGTTTTACATGACTTTCTGGAGCAAGGAAACAGAACAAATAGACCAAAAATAGACATTGAAGCATGCTGTGAAAGCTAAACAGTGACTACAACTCCTGGGAATCGGCTCCAAGCTTTTCGCAAATAGTAAACAAATGCAGTATTATATTCCACACCACATACAAAAACCTGTAGATTTTGAATCAGCAGGCATGAACTCATTTGTATCTAAGAGGAAACATCCAAATTCACGAGACATGTCTATCACAACATTAAGATAACTGGAAATTGATTTTAACATGCAGACTTGAAAATTAGGTTATTTATCTACAGACACAAGGTGCTTTGTGCAAGTACAGTGTATGTGTTCTAGTGTATAAACAGCCAAACCAAGAACACTTAGTGAATCTAAAACCCTTAAAAAAAAAAAAATCTTTCTAATGATTATTAAACATTTGGGAAAAAAGCCAGAACAACAAACAAAAAACACTTGAGTTTCACTAATAGTACCACAGGCTGGGCTTCAGGTTGCAACCATTGTCAGCAACGCGCTTTATTACTATTGTATGCCTAGAATGGAACATTCTTTGGGAAGAGAAATAGTAAGGGATGTTATTTAAGACAGCAAGCACACCATTGTGCCAGACAATGGCCAACACTGCACGACTCTAATGTGCGAAGCCTATATTAAAGTCGGTGTATGCCAACAGCAGTGGCTGGTACTGGGAAAGGGAGGTCCCAACCTTTTGTAGCCCACCAGCAGTGGCTGTTACTGGAAATGGAAGCTCCAACCCCCCTCCCGGAGCCACAACTACAACACAAAGTGTACCACTGGCTCTAAACCGCTCCATACATGTTTGCCCTGCATTTGCATGCCATCCGATTCACACTGCACGTAAGATTACTCGCATGTATATGGATTCTTCATACAGTTTCCTGTATGACGAGAGAGGGAAAAGAACACAAAAACGGGAGAAACCACACCACCCTCTAATCTCTGTTGCCATGACAGCAGCCTTTGAGATACTGAAATGTTCAGATTGCCAGCTAAACAAAATTGTTGAATGTGAACATTTGGCTGAGAGATTAAAAGGCTAAGGGGGTTGCAAAAGGGCAGTACCTCCCACATTCCAGGCAGCCACTGAATCCAATCAAATGGCTCTGACTCTTTAACCACAGCCATTGTGAAGACCGGATTAGGGCAATTTATCTAGATAGTTAAAACAGATTAGAGAACTGCAATTTGAAGACTATTGGCAACAGAAGTAAATGCCTACTGTACTAAGTTAATAAAGAGACCATGAGATTTTAGGACACCTTTCCGCCGTGAACAGAACGTTCATAAATCAAAGTGCAAACATATACACATGAATTACAGCAATCTGGTTTTCTCATCTGCATTTAGAAAAGGTCACAAGGCTCATTCAAATTCATCCGTAGATATGCTATCTTAAAAGCAGTAATACGCATACAATATGAAATTTAATTTGTTCCTTGCCTTGAACAGAAGCCCTTGAAATTATCTTCCAGTTTTAACAAATATCTGATGTCACGAACACCCAAATCTAATCCTCCGGTTGACTTAAATACTGTAAAAGCTTCAGACCGAAATACAAAAAAAGCTGGTAACGGGTCGTAAAAAGACATAACTTTTTCCTGAGACCTTCAGCCCTCCCAGACACTTGCAGACCATACAGTTAACACCGACCCGAAAGTTTTCCCATCGTTGAACATTCACTCTGGGAAGTTGTAAAAGCAGGTAATTTAAGACCAACAGCTGACAATAAAGTCACAATCTAACACCCTGAGATTGTTCATTTGGGGGGCGTTGGGTTTGCTTTATTTTTCAGGCAGACCAGGTTATCTTTGTTTAGAAACCTGTAGAATTCATTGGACTCATAATCCTGGGCCAACGCTCACCCCCAGGTCCCCCAGAAGACGCCTTCTGCCCTACAGACAGAGCAATTCCCGCCAACACCAGAACCTCCTTGAACCAGCGGTTTAACAAAAGCCAAGCTCTCCCTCCACCCTTCCCGAAGAATAGAGTCATGGCCATCTATTCTTACAGAAAGTATCCTTCGTAAGGTAATAGGAAGGAAGAAAAACACACACCCCCATCTGATTTCTTTCATACATTTCAACCACTCAACAAACGAGTAGTTCATATCCAAGAGCCGGCAGGGCTCAGATAGGAAAGGTTCCCCAGACAGGAGACAAACTGCTCCCCTCTGTTCCGAAAGCTGTTTTGCACACACGCATCTCAGCACAAGGTGCATTCCCCTCCTCCCAGCCTCCTCCTTCCAGGAAGAGGAGAGGCACCGCCTGTCTGCTGGCTCCTTCCTCCCCGTCCTCCACACCAGCTTCTGGGGCCTCTGGGCTGCTGTACCACCGGAGCCCCCAGTACGACAAGCATCCCACATCTCCACGAAGCGCAACGGCGGAGCCCGGGTCTCTGCCAATGCCTCCTGTTTTCCCCCCGCAAGCACAATCTCGACTCCGGACAGCGGGTCAGAGGAGAAGGGAGAGGGGTCCCTTTAGGCTTTGGGAGTGGAATGGCCGCGACTGCCCGCCGGTGTTGCGAAAAAGTGTCAGCACATACAAGACCTGCTGCTCCTGGAGCCTGAGCTATGCACCCCCCTAGGCAAACACACAGACCTCCAGCCTGCAAACACATGCCATCCCACCCGTACCAACACTGCTGCTCTCTGCTAAAACCGGGAAAGAGCTCAGGCAGGGTCATCTCAGGGTTTCTCCTTCTGGGTGAGTGTGATCAGAAGGAACAGACAAAGCAGAAACGTTCTCCAGGTCTGAGGACAGGGAGGGGAAATCATAAGGAAGAGCAGCACACTCAAAACATGGTATCTTCTGTGTAGGGCAG